AAATTTAGGTTAAAAAAATCTTGTTTTTCTTGCTCAGCGGAGGCAACAAAGAATATGCGGAAATTTAGCGCTTTTTTTTTTTTTTTTTTTTTTTTTCAGTAAAAAACATTGATTTGGAAATTCTTGCAAAAAATGTCAAATACTTGTCGGATTTTAATGAACTCTAAGGAATTATTCAGAAATGAATAAAATTATTCTAGATCTTATTATAAATTAATTGATTTAAAATGTTTTTTCGCTACACAGTTCTAACCATGTTTCAAAAACATGGTTAGAACTGTGTAGCGAAAAAAAACATATTTTAAATCAATTAATTTATAATATTAATGCTCTGTAAATTTACATTGAGCACTATTTTGTAAAAATAAAAATATCTATAAGAACACCGGATTTGAACCTGCATCCTATACGGAACCATCATTTAGCTCCTCTCAAAGGACGAATATTTTCTATGAAAATTTCTCGGACATTCAGGCCGGTAAATGTTATTTAATACTGTTTATTATAAACAGAGCATTTACTTAAATACTTGTATCTATAAAAAGAATGTTAAACATAAAAATGTCTTTAATAAATTGTTGGACTTTGTCCATTTCTTAATGTATGTATGTATGTATATATATATATATATAACCCCACCTCTCCCGCTCTTAATTAAGGAAATTTCGAGAAATTGAATTTTGCTTTACTTCATATATATAATAGTTAAAACTGTTGGAGAGGGTAAATCAATTTTTTTTTTTTTTTTTCAAAAAAGTAGCACATTTACCAAAAATCTGACCTGAATCATAAAATTAAAACATGCAATCAAATTAAGACATTATTTAATTAGAAAATTATGAATAAGATATATTATGAACATTATTTTTTTAAGAATTGTGTTTAAATTTGTCGAGAAAATCTCAACCCAAGAAAAAAAAATCTATGATGGTGCAGGCCGGAGAAATGAGCAAAGATACTCACCTTAATTTGCGAAAAAAATATCTACTTCTGCGATGTAGCTTCTTCATCAGATAACTTACATAGTATAATAAAGTGTTTAAAAAATAAAAGAGGAAAAAACATTTCTTTTATAATCACTTCAGTAATCACATGATAACAAGTCATGAGACCTTGTAACTCTAAAAAATTGGTAAAAAAAAAAAATGATAACAGCTTTTAGTTTACCAGAATAACAACCCAGGTAAGTACTTTACTCCTTCCACCTGAACTTTAATTAGAGTAATTTATTAAATTTTAAATCTTTTAAATTTCTGAAAAGATTAGGTGATATTTTTATTAAATAAAAATTATATTTACTAATCATAAATTGAAAAGCTTCGTACAGATTATCATGCACCAATATTTTAAAAAATATTTTGAATTTTTTTTTTTATATGTATAAACATGCTGATTTTCTATTTTACGGTTGACCATACAAGACATTATCCGTAAATAGGAGTGATAACTATACTAAATTTACAGCCATAAATATTTAAAATTCATTAAAACACTAGATTACAGAGAATATTTTCCAACATTTGGAAGATTACTCAGTACTTAAAAATTGTATATAGAAGGTGCTCACATTAATTCAATTACTTTTTTAATGCCTAAAGCCTCCATAAGACAACATTAGATGAATATCAATCTCTCATCAAGCTTTCAAACCCGCAAACACTTTAAATAAACAGCTGCTGTTAGGTTAAAAAATCCATTTTTTTTTTCAATATTTCACACTTAAAATAAATAATAGTTGTTCTAAAACAGATTAATTATGCTTTAAATCTGCTCTAATAAATATTTCTCAAAGTTTATTATATTTCTCAAATAAAGTATATTATATTTTTTTAAGACTTTTTTTTGCAATGAAAAAGGGTAATAATCAGCTTATTTTAGCAAAAGAAACAAAAAATTCTTCCTCTTTTTAAAATACAGCAAAGTATTTTGCTTATTGGAAATATTAAATATAATCTTGAAATTAAAACTAAAATAAAAGCTTCTAGAAAAATTTCTCAAATTAATTTTAAACCTAAGGTATCATTTTTTTTGTGTGTGGGGGGGGGTACCTAATTTAATGTAATTAGATTTTTGACTCATTATTGTGTGTCTGAAAAATGGTTTTATCATGGTTGCCATCGCTTGTCAGAGTTTTGGCCGAGATGAAAGTATATCTGTTCTTATCAGCCTAATCTAATTCTCTCTCTCTCACCACTTCTATTTTCCTATCTTTTTTTTCTTTCATTTTCTCATTGAAACTAAGTAGTGTCTTTCCTCCACTCTCCATACAATTAAAACATGGAATAGTTCATTATTTATGAGGTATTAGCAGCGCATAACGGTTGTGCAAACTAACAAAGGGTGGGACGAGCACAATTAAAATAAGATAATCTACCAACAGTGAAGAAAATGAACTACAAAAATAATTTCTAAATTTGCTTAAAATATACTTAAAAAGAAGTTTTATCAGTAGTACAACAGACAAAAAAAAATTTATTTAGTCCTTTCTGTTATTGTTCTTTGTTGAATTTAGAACGTATAAAACAATCGGCACTACTATAGTTTTGTACACCACCCCCAACAGCAAAATGTTTCATATTTACTTTCTGCTTTTTTTTTTTATGTTTACATTGATTGTCTGTGCAGAGTTGGCGTGTACTACTTTTGACCCCCCCCCCCTTAACCAGGGTGGCGGGTGCAGTCAACACTGACTGTGGACCCCATGTAGTGTTTTGTGACCCTCAGTATCATATCAACATTTCTTTTTTTTTTTTTTTTCTACCTATATGCTACAAATTAAACTAAGCTCAACTAGCAAAAGATGAAAAATTTTTGTGGATTTTGAAGTCATTCTGTTTTTTGTTTTTGTCCAAATCCATGAATTTGTTTTGTTCATGCTAAGTGTCAAACAAACAGTAAATAAAATTCACTATTTTTTTATCTGTAATTTTGAATGTGTTAAAATTCTTCAAAATTTTAACAAGAAAAATCTGAAGTTGATGTTAAAAATTGCCACAAATCATTACTTAAAATCATCTATTATGCATATTGATTCATTATTGTGTAAAGATTTTTATATGTATATTCAAGATTACAATATTTTTTAAAAATATATTTTATATGAATACTACCTAAAGAAAATTGAGATGTAGTAGAGTTGGGCACTCCATATAATAGGTTTGGTGGGAGTTCATAAGACTCTTTGCGCAGGCCCTACTTCTGCATGTAAATTTTTTCAATTTAGAAAATTAACACCAATAAAAAAATTTTTCTCAGTTTAATAAATATCCAAGAAGTAATATTAAACTAGATATAACTCCCATGGCAATTTGATGCCAAAAATTATAAAATTTTGAATTTTTGAATCATTGATTCTTCATCAGCACAAACCATTCTGACATAATCAATTCTACTTTATTGTCCTGAAAAAAAAAAATGAATACAAATATTTCCCTCTCGGCCATCACCATCACTTGTTGCTTTCCATCAGGAAGGACATTAGATTTTAATTTAAAATAAATCTTTCTACATATTTTTAAAAAATTAACGAACTTTTCATTTTTTTGTTTTAAGTTTAAACATGAAACGATGCCCTCCCCTTTTTTATACTTATAAATAGGCAACTCCAAAGGTTGCTAAAAAATGAGCATACATGATTTAAAAGATGCCCAAAACTTAATAAAAACAAAGTTTTATTGTCAAAATCTTTGTTATTATTAGGAGGAAAAGCAAAGGATTTTTTGATTATTTAATTATATTTTTTATCCTTTTTAGACCATTCAAAATTTTGTCTAATAATCTTGTTTTTCTTGTGTCAGCAGGTGACCCTAAATTAATATTGGAAATTTTAGCATCTGTTTGCAGTGAAGGAGACATTAATTTGAAAATTCTTGCAAAATCAAATAACTGTTAGATTTTAATGAAACTTTCAGAACTTATTTATAATTAAATGAAATTATTATAATGTTTTTTTTTTTTTTAGAAAATCTTTGTAAAAAAAATTTTTTTTTTTACATCCTCACATATTTAATTTTATGAAATTTTGAAAAATTCTTTTTTAGGTCATTTAATGTTTATATTTAGGTAACTACAAAGAAATGCAATACCTAGTGTTTAAAATGAATTTTTAAAAATGAAAAATTATTCTTGAAGCTTTTATTTTAGTTTCAATCTCAAGTTAATTAAATATTTCCAATAAGCAAAATTTGAAACAAATATTATTTTTAGTTTAAAATATTGCAGAAATGCATTGTTTTTTTTTTTTTAGCACAGTGGTAGGTTTATGGTCTTGACAGCTTGATTGACAAATGGAAATTTAACTTAATTTAATTTTTTTTTCTACAGGAGACATATCTGCAAAATTACTTGAGGAATATAACATGAGTGCCTTTTTTATATAATTTTTAACTACCCAGAAAGATTTAAAATTTAGAAAAATATTATCTGTCATCTAATGTTTTATTGAATCTTAGGTACTTTGGCTTTAAATTTACTGCTCTTAAATTTAAATTTACTTTTCTTACCTTCTTTTCTCAATTTACTCTTATTTTCTGATAATGTAAAAATGTATGGATGTCCATATTTATAAAAATCAGCATGTTTATACATGCACAAAAAAATTAAAAATTCTTTTTAAAATACTGGCATCTGCTGACATTCCAGCACTCAGACATTTATCCGACAGACATTTAACTGAATGGACATTTAGCCAAAAATGTTTTGGCATTCTTACATATATGTCACACTCTTTATCGTAATGTGCTACATATATTTATATTTATTTATTGTATTAATCTATTATTTTTTTTTTTTTTTTTTTTTTTACAGGCTTTTTTTAAAAAATCTATTCTGATTATATTATTTTTTACTCCAAATATTACTGTAAGATGATAATTATTTTGAGAAAAAGTTTGAGGAGAGTTAAGATATGGGGTGAAGTTACCCCATCCTTCCTCTCAGAGGTGGATTTGTTTTTGAAGTTACATTCTAGCGTCTGTCTAAAAAGACAGGACCTACAAGGTGGGGTTTAAATACCGGTTCCCATATGATCACCAAAGTTAAGCAATTTTGAGCCTGGTCAGTAAGTACCTAGATGGGTGACCACTTGAGAATATCAGCTTAGATGTGCAAGTGGTGTAACGGATAATGGCTCGGAATTGTTAATCGGTGAGTAAAGTTCCAACAATTCCAGTTGGGTTTGTTATATTCCCTTATGCACAAATACCCGTGGGAAAGGTATGAATCCACTTCTTCTCTCTCCAGCTATAGGTTAATTAGTAAAACTTTTATCACTAAAATCATTATTGTCTAAAAAAAATATTTAGATTTCAGCATTAAATAACCTATAGAGATTTTATGCTGCTAAAGAAAAAAAACAACGAACCTACAAGGCAGTAGGTAGTTTGAATTCAGTTTGCTTTTCCTAGTCTGTTTGCCACCCAAGGTTATAGGACCCAGTTTGTCCTGAAACTTTACCCATATCTGGAGGGAGAAGAGATGGATTCACACCTTTTCCAGGGGCATTAGCACATAAGTGAATATAATGAACTCAACTGGAATTCAAACTTAGCCCTCCAATTTCTCAATCCAAGTCACTAACCATTGCTCCACCATGCTTCTACATTTAGAAATAAATAATAAGAATACCTAAAGGTCCTTCACATTTCGTTCACCAGTTTAAAAAGAAGTGCTTAAGTTTTGTTTTTATTTTTGTGTGTATGCTTTCACTCCATCTATTAAAAGATTGATTATTAAGAATTTTTTTTTATTTTTAAGAAATTAGCTGCTTTTAGAATAAATATAATAGGATTTTCATTACAAATTTAGACTCTCCTGGCATCATTCCTCAAAAAACCTAACCAGTTGTCACGGTGGGATGATATTAATCCCAAACACTGGTGCAACATTATTACAGAAAGTTTCTATAAGTTTTTATAATCTTAGGAAAAAAAATTAAAACTCTGATAAATTAATTACAGAAAACATCATTAGCACCTAATATTTATGTGGTTGAGCAGGTAGTGTAATATTTATGTGGATGAGCAAGTAGTGTAATGCAGGACTAGTGCAAGGGCATTGTGTGTGTGTCCCATTTATGATAAGGTGCCCCCACTATATCTCAATTTTCATAAGGTAGTATTCATATAAAATACAAATTTCATTGTAACCTGATTATGTACAATGATGGATCATATGCACTATAGGTGAACAATTCAACTAGAAAAATCGATAGTAAATACAAATTCAAGGTATGTCAGATCATCCCCTCTTAAATAAATCAACATTGTTTTGTGGCAGTTTTTAATAACTTGAGATTTTTCTTGTTAGAAAGTTGAATAATTTAATGCCTTCAACATTGAATTTTAAATGGTGTTTTTTTTTTCAAGACTTCACATGAGCTAAACAAATACACAAATTTTGACACAAGGAAAAAAACGAACTCCAGAATGACATCAGAATCTGTGAAAATTTCTCTTCCTTTAATAATCAGTTATGCTTAGTTTAATTTGTAATGTATAGAAAAAAAAGCAAATATTGATAAGGTAGCAGGGGTCACAAAGCTCTGCCTGGGGTCCCCCCGTTTGGCTTGTTTGACCGCAGTTAGGGGATTCAGGGATAGTATGCCCTGGCCCTGGGATCACCAATAGTTTTAATTTTATTTATGAAAATGTCAAAAGTTAATTCACAATGATGTACACAGACTAATAAGTAAATCTCTGTGTATAACAGTCGGGTGGGATTCAGGAGGTGTAATGGATAGCAGCCCAGATTGGAGTTCAAATTTCAGTTGAGCACAACATTACTCCACTGTGCCTCCTCAAATGTACCTAAAAATGGGAGAGAGAACAAGAGGAAATAAAACAATAAAAATACAGGGTGATCCAAATTATTGACACCTCCTACCGAAAAGTAATGAGAACAATAGAAGAACAAATAATACAAAGCACATGTACTGGATTCAGTTTATTCACTTTCATTGATGCTGTCACACATCAAGAAATTCTGTATGAATACCACCATTTTCATGTCAGCCATCTGAAATAGAAAATTATATTATGTAGGGGTGACAAGACTTTCGGACCACCCTGTACTATGTTAACAGAACAAAGAGAGAATTAAATAATTTGAATACTGATCTTTATCACCTGAAAAATTTATTTTTCAATGGAGTCAAAAATCGTATTTTGGAAGAGCAGAACAATAGTGAAGATAGTTTGGAGCCCTTGCACTTTTCATTAATTTTATATAAAGAATACTGACACAAATCTGATCAAAATTCTGTCCTTTGGTGGTGAGACTACAGTGACCTCTCCAGAATGCAGGCCTTGGCGATGATACATGGAGGCCATGACTACACGTGCTCCTCTCTCAGCCATTCCAACAAGATCCAAAGGAATACAGGACATTACATTTGAATGTAACCTGTGGTATAACTAACATATAGTTGCAAAGGAAAGAACAAAGATTAAAATTTCAACAGCGTGTATTGATCAATTCTCAGAATATATACATAATGCCCAATGCCAGCAAATGTAATCGTTGATATGTGGTTCTTTAGTAAAGGAAGCAATTAGGTATAAGGTAATGTCAGATTTATTTGGTCAATTTGCCAAGATCATGGTGGTGACAACAAGAGAGGCCTTGAGTGGATTAGTGAAGTCACATGGTAACACACAAGTTGGGTGAAGTTGATCGATCTATCTTCAGGGTTGAAATCAACACCAGTGAGGTGTGTGAATAGGTTGGCAGTAGAGTCATGAGGTTGAGGTGTTGAGCTGAACTGCCTGTTATCAGCAAGGAGTGACAATTTTATATTTGTGGTTTAATGAGTGCTAGTTTCTAGGCTTGTCCTTTTTTTTTCTTTTTTGCAATGATTGTGATTGGCTATTGCATGGATTTTTGTGGATGGACTGGATGTGATGCTTGGAGCCTCTGTGCAAAAGACAACTTTTTTTATTTTGGGTTTTACTTTTTTAGTGCTCATATCTGGCCAACATATCTTGTGAAATGTATTTGTAAATCAGAAAGAGATCTTGATTAAAGTAGTCTAGCACATATGTGTAGGCTTTCTATATACAACAATTGTAGAGATGATGAGGACATCTCAAAATAGTGAAAGAGTAAAATAAGAATTTTCAATAATATCAAAATTAAATATTCAATAAAAAAAACTCTAAAAGTTTTTAATGTCAGGCTAATTCATATCAATTCTTTCAGTTTTCTCACCCTCTAACAATGTCCCCTATTATTTGGACCTCACATACATGCATGCATGAAGGTTATCTAAAAATGAAAGTTTATTGTTATAGACTTTTTGCATCACAAATGTTATAATTTCCTTCTCAGTGTAATGTAAGTGATTCCCTATATTCTTATCACCCAAGCATTGTTCCATATCTATTATCTTAACCTGATATATATTAAATTTTTTAAATATATTATTTTAACTTCATATATATTAAGTTCTTTTAAATATTATAGTATTATAACCTCATATATACTAAGTTTTTTTAAATATATTATTTTAACCTCATATTGAGTTTTTTTAAATATATTATTTTAACCTCATATTAAGTTTTTTAAATATATTATTTTAACCTCATATTAAGTTTTTTAAATATTATTTTGACCTCATATTAAGTTTTTTAAATATTATTTTAACCTCATATATATTAAGTTTTTAAATATTATATTATTTTAACCTCATATATATTAAGTTTTTAAATATTATATTATTTTAACCTCATATATATTAAGTTTTTTAAATATTATATTATTTTAACCTCATATATATTAAGTTTTTTAAATATTATTTTAACCTCATATTAAATTTTTTAAATATATTGTTTTAACTTCATATATATTAAGTTCTTTTAAATATTATTTTAACCTAATATATATTAAGTTTTTTTAAATACCCAAGGGTTCTAACCAATGTTCATAGAGACTACAAGGATATCTCAAAATAAAACTTTTTTATATAAATTTTTCATCATAAATGATAATGAAAAGCAAGTTTTTAAAATTTCATACTAAGTATGTATTGATTACAAACAGATGACTAAAAAAGCTCACTTGGAAATTATAATTTTTTTAATAACACACTATCTTTCAACAATATTGTTTGTTTAGCTGTCAGATTTCAATTTGCTATCAAAAAATCAATACATCCTTATTAAATGATAAATCTGTTGTAAAACTTTGCAGTTAGCTAATCTCCAAATAAAGGCATTCTTACTTTTAGTTATTGCACCTTGAATTCAAAGTTAGAGATCAGGTTGTGTGAAACTGCTAGTATGGTTCTTATTTTTCACAAACTGTTTTTAACATGTTCATGAATTCATTGTTCAAATGCTTCGGGATAGTAATCCAGAAATAGATTTCTCAATCATTTGTTTGTTTTTTGATGAGTTTATCATAGTCAACTGCTTGTCATTGAATTCATCCAGGTGTATAGCTAAAAAAAAAAAAACCTGAAAAGAAGGCTGTTTTCCAGCATCCTTCATTTTAGATTGTCTGCATTACCTTGGTTGAACATAACCTGGAGCCAGAGTATAGGAATTATCACATAACCAAACCAGATTAAATGTTTCAAAAGAATGCAGTATGTAAGATATTAAAAAAATTATATGCAGCTCTTAGAATTAACAGACAGAAAATTGATACTCCTACAGCTATCAGTATAGTGATTTACTAAATGTAGTTTACATTTGGCACAAAGGTGAAAGTGACATTTAGCTACCCCCCCCCCCATGAGAGTTACATGTGGCACAAGGCTCGGCCAAAAATATTCCCACTTTGAACCCACATAAACAGGTTCAGGGGCAGTCAACCACCCCGAACAAGACTCTGCCCTTCGGCAGAGCCTCGTCTGGGTTCCTCTTCGCCTGAAGGCAGAGAGTTAGACTGTTGGCCAAGTTTGAGGACCAAATTCACTATTCAGTCATAATTATTCTAGAGAGACAATCTTGCTTTTTTTACCAGCCCCTTGTAAATTTTCATATATATTTACAAGCCCCTGTAAATATTTTCACGCTTTCTAAACACTTGTAAGTCTCCTTGTATATTTTATAAGCCCTTGTAAGTCTTCTTAGGTATTCCTGAATATTTTATGAT